AAGAGGAGGGTGGCACTGCTGCTGGTGAAGAAGAGGATGGCACTGCTGCTGAAGTTGAAGGTGGCACTGCTGCTGGTGGAGAGGAGGCTGGCAGTGCTGCTGGTGAAGAAGAGGGTGGCACTGCTGCTGGTGAAGAGGAGAGTGGCACTGCTGCTGGTGAAGAAGAGGGTGGTACTGCTGATGATGAAGAGGAAGGTGGCACTGCTGCTGGTGGAGAGGAAGGTGACACTGCTGCTGGTGAAGAGGAGGGTGGCACTGCTGCTGGTGAAGAAGAGGATGGCACTGCTGCTGAAGTTGAAGGTGGCACTGCTGCTGGTGGAGAGGAGGCTGGCAGTGCTGCTGGTGAAGAAGAGGGTGGCACTGCTGCTGGTGAAGAAGAGGGTGGCACTGCTGCTGGTGAAGAAGAGGGTGGTACTGCTGCTGATGAAGAGGAAGGTGGCACTGCTGCTGGTGGAGAGGAAGGTGACACTGCTGTTGGTGGAGAGGAGGCTGGCACTGCTGCTGGTGAAGTAGAGGTCGGCACTGCCGCTGGTGAAGAGGAGGTTGACACTGCTACTGGTGAAGTGGAGGGTAGCACTGCTGCCATTGAAGAGGAGGGTGGCACTGCCGCTGGTGAAGAGGAGGGTGACACTGCTGCTGGTGAAGGAGATGATGGCATTTCTGGAGATGTGGAAGAGAGCACCACTGTCATTGGTGTTCAGGAAGATGACACTGACGTCAATGATGAACATTATGACGAAGGTACGTCAAATATCAGTAAATAACAAATATTGGTCTCATATCATCTCTCAATATTTCACCTTCGTCATGTTGTGGTGTTTGATCAATTTACATTCTGCATAAAAAACATATATCTTTACAAGTTGTGTGTGCACGGGAATGCACATATGACATAAACATTGGGCCACATTGCTGGCCTTTATAGTATGGAAAAACAACATGTGACTTGTTCGTGTATCCTAATTTGCAGCTAACGTGGTCTTCCTAATACTTATATATAACTCCATGGATGACTCGGAGCATCAGACAAACCAGTAGCACACATGAGGCCTGAACCAAAACTATTTTTTCTGGTGTACCACCAAGAAATTTCGCAACTGCACAGCGCCCCTTGACGAATTGATTAAACCTGAAGAATGTGTGCGATGTAAAATATTTTCGTGAAAAAATATCACCTCGCTGCCCCAATTTTTGGAAACAATTTCACTAGATATTTTTTTGTGAGACCTAAACCGGTATAATTTTCTACTTATGGCTCAAGTTCAATGTTTTATGTTTACATTATATTGAATATAATGTAATTTAATATTTAGTATTGTGGACCGTATTCTTAGACACGTTTTCATGTTCAGATTCAACACGAATCACTCAGGCAATCTGTATAATTAATGAGCAGTAAACACAATGTCGGTATATATAAACCCAAATCAGGGTACAAAAGAAAAATTGTACTCAGATGAACAAACAAAGTAGGGAGATGTCGTCCGAACTGCGCATATGTGCGCTCTACTTTTATTCGTCGTTATATGTATGTAAACAATGTATGTTCAGAGAACACGATCAATCGCAATCAGTCGTTGGGGGCGTAATCACGTAGGAGGTAACTAATAAACTGTGATTATTCGTAATTAATGACATACACGTAAAATGTGGTATGCGGTTGATAAAACTCGCGTACGTACAGTGCACGAGCCTGCCACGTTTAGTTTACGATTCCCTTTACTGATTACAGCAATACCAGAATTTATACATTAATAAAAATTTCCAACTGAGACCTGAATACAAGACTTAGCACAATTTACTGATTTTTACTATTGACTAATTTAACATTGGTGGCATATATACCTGTGAATTTTTTTCATTCTACAGTGTGCTTCAACCAAGGCATTCTGAACTTTTGGTGTGAGGGTGAAGCTAAATGTGTGCCGATCTGGAATGTATGTGATGGTATACCGCACTGTTGGGAAGGATTGGATGAGAAAAACTGTCCACAATTTGAACCGAGAGGTAAGATCAAATACATACGCTGTTATGTTGTCTCATAATATCGTCTATGCCATGCAACGCCAGGTTTGAGTAATTATTCTGAAATGCACAGGATGTTGTATTTATAATCGAAAGCAAATTTGAATTTCCTTAATTTAATAAATATTTTGCCTATGATTCATTGTGGATTGTAATTCAATATTCTTAGTATATTATTCGACAAATATTGTATGTTATATGGTACCCCGGTTCACGAGCGAAAGCAACAATATACTGACATGTACCATACGCGTATGGCTCATATATAATCAAATTGTTGCGACTTCTATCATAGTTCTATCATTATGAGTAATTGTTGGCTAGTCAACGCAACAAAAAAGATAAACATGATAATTCCTTTCATGAGTTTTTGCAAGCTGCGACATTTCATTCAACCCAAGACTGATATATTGCCTTTTTTTCGCGTGTACCAAATTTATAATCGTATTACTTAAAATAAAACAAAACTATTCGCTTTTGTGAAAAAAGACAATCATGCAGGCTCGGACGAATCCAATTTATAAACGGACAGATTTATCAGTTTACCCTACACAATGACACTATTACGCTAATAACGCAAAGGCTCATGGGTAGACGCTTGTTTGTAAACAATGACACGCTATGGCCATCTGACGCACGCGTAGGTGACGACACCCCCGCTTTAAAGCGGGATGGTCGTCACCTGCACATGCGCTGGAATTGAGTCCCAAGCCACGATAACACACGCTAACAACGCAAAAGCCAATGGGTAGACGCTTTTTTGTAAACAATGACACGCTATGACCCTCGGACGCATGCGCAGGTGACAACTCCCCCACTTTAAGCATGTTTTTAATATTTTGATATATAGCTTGTGAGACAAGTTACGAGTACTGTGAATACGCCCCTGATGGACATCCATACCAATGTACGTGTGAAAAACAAAGCATGTCGACATGCACCAGGTAGGTAACATTCACTTTCCACTTACGTGTGTTTGTCGTCACGCATGTTATTATCCGTATTAATTCATATCATAGTTTTTAATGCCAGCCTCAATCCCAATAAAAAAAAAACATTCTGCGTGGGCGTAAGGATATTGACACGAACACGTAGTTTGTTTCTGTCGCATCACATTGTAATTACCGAAGTTCTGTTTGTAAATTGTTACTTGGACAGGTAATTCACGTGTTTTGAAAATTCAATGCGTTTAATATGGCAGTCTTAGCTGTGCTGTTAATGTTTGTATATGAAATTTGTCAAAAAAAAATTCAAAATGACAAAAGACTGTCTACACTTCTTCATCGATAGAAGGTGCGATTTAACAGTTAGGTAAACATAATTATGCATTATCTTCTATGCTGTAGATGTAAACATGGTCCGGAGCAAGAAATAGAAAAAACGGAGACCAAACATGGTAAAACTGTAGTATTCCGATCTGTTTACGTGAACCCAACAGACGAAAATAATTGCTGTGGTGACTTAGAATATTAGCATCTATCTACTATCTATAGTTATGAGGAAGGCGCTAATACAAATATTGGTGGTAGTTGTTCCGATTTATAGCTACTCTTGTTACAAATATATTTTCGCAGTAGCACATGTTAATAATTGTACTATTATTTTAATTCTAAATAAAATACGTGACTTAGCATACTCTACATGGATTGTGGGGTGACGTTGTTATATGACATATCCCATGATGCACCGTTAATACCAGCCTGAACAGCATCGATGATAATTCCATTATACTTTTGACGCAAATTAATTCAAAGATCAGGTTGAGGATGGCAGACTTGTTTTTGTCTCTCAAATAGTTTTATGTACATTCTCGTCACCGCATACATTGTTTATATGATTGTGTAACCATGGTTTCTAAAACAATGAACGCGATGACGCGATAGAAGAGAACACATATTGCGGAGAAAAAAAGTCTCGCGGCTGTCTCGCTCTCAATTCTTATGAGAGTTGCCCTGGAAAAAACATTCGGCTGTGAACTGACAATTTTGAGTTTTTTAACTTGCACTTAGGACACAAATAGCAAACGGAACCACCATCGGTTTACATCCCTATCCAATAGGACTCCATTCTCCAAGTCCCCCAAGTGTTCAGTGTTGTATTAGTAAGAGCTCTTATTAATGATATAAACATAGCGTATATTGTTGGAAGTCATTATTTTCAGATTCCGATTCAGCAGATTCGCGCCTCTCTTTCTGTAAGTAAATAAGTATTTGCATACAAATGTTGATGCACATGCACCGTAATACAGAATTCCTTGTGATTATGAAAATAGTTGCCTGTAGTGTAAAAGGTTGTTGTCATAATAAAAGACATTGGTTGCAACAGTGGTGTCACTGACTACTCCGCCCATATGCCTTACAGCACAGGATTGTCAACTTCATCGTTGAGGGCGATGCATTCGACATTAACGCGATGATAGCAATGTCAAAGAATGATAGCATATGATTTGCCTAATTTAATATTATACCGCGACATTTACCTTATTTGGACATTGCGTTATTTACCGTCTAATAGCATTGGCAGAGTCCATCAATATGTGAAAATAGAAAAAAATTGTTCCTTCTAAAATTTATCGTTCTCACTTGTTCCACACTTTGAATTATTACGGTGCGATGTGACATTTCATTTATATAGATAGATGTTACGGTTGTGTACATTTCAATAACAAGACTAAACACTGTAAAATACTGTACAGCAAGTCATTCTGAACTTTTGTTGCGAAGGTGAAGCTAAATGTATGCAAATTAATGATGTAACCATGTAATAATATGTCCCAGACAGAATCAGAACAGAATCAGCGAACCTTTTGGGTGGAGTTCAATCAAAACCCGATGGCAGCCATATGTTTGTTTGTATTATTACAGGACGCTTACGCGCGTAATCATTCCATATTTGTAGTTCGCATTTCCTTATGTGGAAAATACCCTGTAAAATACCGCAACATTACGGCACGCTGTAACTTATGGCATATTGGCATTACGGTGACAGATGTATAATAATTGTCGGCATTTCACGACACGTTAGGCAAATTAATCGCTTTAACAGGCCATTCGTGCCAGTCGTATTATTTCTTTCCCGCTACGAAAATACTCTGACAGGGCCTGTATTTGGAAACTATTACTTGAATATTCATGTTAAACGTCACGAATGCAAATAACCAATCGGCATTGGTTTTAAAAAAAGGCACGGATCGATTCTGTAAGTAGATTGTTCGTTTCCATGTAACGGGGTTTATGACGAAAGGCAACACAAGAGTGATGCGCTTTTGCTATGCTTAATTCGTGCTTATTTCGCCAGAAATTGAGCAGCATATTAAAATGTTGTTTTCATATATAACAACACATTAAAGCTGCATTCCCACTTTGCAAAATATGTTAAATGCTATATATGAATTCCTATAAGTGATATTTGAAGTAAAGAAAGTGCACCTATAACGAGAAATCTGTCCAAAAATGAGAATAATCGAATATTCCCGGTCACTGCCGAACCGTTCCGATCATTTTCGGCGACCACCATTCCACAATCGAATGTTAGAACATTATTTCTAGTTCAACATTGTACGCTGATTTGTACGCTGTTTTCTACTCAAAATACTATTCACATTGAGCGTATTTGACTTGCCAGACGGCATCAAACATTTACCAAATATTTTGTGCAGTATTATTCACCTGATAGTGCACTTATTAAAGTGGTGTCCATGCAAATTGTCTGAATATTTATTAGCGGCAGTCGGGGTTTTGAGATAAACTGCTTTCACCCTATTGGTCAGATTTGGATTGGAATGAAGCGCGCGGAAAGCGCACCGATGTTTGTTCGTTGGTCTTCGGCTAATAATTTGGGTGGCCCACCTAAAATAAAGTTTCAGGGTCGTTTTCTTGTTATTCGCGCACTTTTGTAACTTCAAATATCTTTCATAGTAATCCATGTATATCATTTTAAATATTTACAAAGTGGGAATACAACTTTAAACAATATCAAACCTAAGAGAGAGAATAATAAAGGTTTAAAAATCGTCTCGGCAACGCACCCGCAATGTTTCGCCTATGAGAATACGGTCGGGGAATAAATCGCATCACTCATGAAATAGCTTCTATACTCTACAAACGTCAGAACAAGTACAATCTGATGTCTCGTGGACGCTTCCATCATGATTGGAAGGCTATCTTCATTAGTGAAATTATTAATATAATTTTCAAAAATCACTAAAAGGATTTGTCATAGCCATAAAAGTCGTTAATTCTGGCGAACAAATAATTCGTAACCCATGCCTAAAAATAACGACAGTGTAAGAAGTGGGTATACATATTTGCAAAAAATGCATAGGATGAACATTCATTTTTGTATGTCGACTCACTGGACAATTATAGGGTATGAAAGTACTGTCAACATCCATGTCCCATGTCTAGGGAAGTGACACCCGCCCATCCCGGCTGTCATGTATTCTCAGACGATAAAGTGTTACTCCATTGCAATCAATAGGCCCTTAATATACATAATACATAGTGGTGGTATATTATAATAACAATAATGAACTCAACACCCGTAATCAACATAACTATCCCACATATTTGTATTTGTATTCTAATCGAACTGAGTGTTGTAGGTCGTTTTATATTGGTACAATATGACGTAATAAATAATTATTCACATTCCTTTATTAGTTAGCTATTTCTGAAATACTAATATTAGTGAAATGACAGGGTCTCTATTGAAAAGAAAACGACACCCACCTTGCTACCCCCTTTTATATATCTCAGGAAAATAATAATTTTTAGCACAAACACCTTTGAAATATAGTAGATTATTTACCAAATAAACTGTGGCAAATGGCGCTATGTAGTATCATATATGCGTCAATGTTGTATATTTCTTTAGCTAGATTGATTATTCTGCAATGTACATGTAGCGTGTACAATGCTGATAATCCATCATGGACACCATACGCATACTGGATGCGCATCAGGTGATACATTGCTTTCGTTTTATTCTTCCGCAGTGTATTTTATTCGTTGGTTCATCCAAGTTGTGTTACGTCGTTGTGGGATGATGTAGTATTTCCGAATCGGCCACAGCAGTCCGATTCTCCGGGAAAGTCAGATATGTTTCGCCGGTACCGCCAAAGATCTTTCATCTTTGTCAACCATACGAAATAACAAAATGAATACTCAATTACAAAAGGTTGCTAGATGTCTCAATTCCCGGGAATAAATATCGCTGAATATCGAATGCACTTCACCGTGTAGAGTTCTATACACAATACGCCACTACACTAACGGTTCTGTGCTAGTAATTATTGGTTATGTTCACTTATTGTAAACATTGCTAACCGACCAGTGATCGTGTGATTACGGTTTACCAGTGTTTTGAACAGTCAATCGTCTCGGACAGGTTACCCGTACGAATCTTGTTTGCGCCATGTACTCTGTTTATTGGCCCGTTTAGTACCAAAGTGTATCATAATTGGTTCACCATAATTGATAAACTGCAGATTAATAATAAAAGTAAGCTATCTATAAATAATCACATTACTATAAATCAATGTATGACGCACCTATCCCGATCGTGCGTTGGTGTTTTCCTCCTCGGCAACTGGTCCGTCTAGCAACTAGCATAATGATGACATTACTTGAAATTACACATTCACTAATACACACATTACGAGCAAGTTAGTGTTTTTTAATTCGACCAACCAGTGGTCTGAGTGGACATGCGCCGTGTTCAATACGGGTCCCGTACGACGTATGCAAAAATACATCGCGTGCGTACTCAAAGTACGAAAGCTGTCTGCTCGAACACCAACGAAATTTAAACTCCTAAACACTTGCTGGAGGTTGAAAACAATCGTCTTTAAAAAAGGGGGCGAACACGTATAACCCGCTTTATAACGGAAACCATACATTATTAATGATATAAACATAACGTATATTGTTGGAAGCCGTCGCACGTGTTACCATAAATACACATGTTACAGCTGACGCCGACTTGCCTCGTTGGCTATTCACATGAGTCAACACTCGATCAATGACGGATATTAATTTCATTACGTATTCCTTTGTTTCTTATTCACGTTTGTGTGTACGAGACGAGATATGACATTGTTGACATGTAACCAACAGTGCGTACTGTTTGTAGCGGCGGCCCTGACACGGTGGCGAATCGACTCCAAAGACAAAACAACGTGCCGAACACGTTGCTACTATTCACTGTGGATTGCTCGGGTAAGTGAAATGTATTATATAATGACCTTTGGCCCCAGTATATTAAAACCGATGTTGCGGCATTTCACGGGCATCAGATAAAACTGTGATGGAGCCCCGTGCTGGAGATCTGTGTCGTATTTCACATATCGATGTTTTTCACCAGGCCTGCGGTCCGGGGCGAATCTAGACAATCTGTAGAAATTATACAATATATGAACGTCAGTACAATGTGAAATTTGGAACAAACATTCGAATTGGAACCCGAAACCATTTCAACATTATGACGCGATGAAAAGCATTGACAATTTTGTGTTTGCCTTCACCTATCATTTTCGCAATCGTACCATCCTGGACATCAAATAAATACAATAATAGAATAACGCTCACAGATAACCCGGTAAGCATAGAAGTAATGACTGAGAGTTGCCGATTTCCAATGC